CACACGGCCTGGCGCCAGAACTGCCACTTTGTACTTCTCACTCCCTTCGCCTCCTCCGCCCGCCCCCTCCCGTCCGACGACAGTTGAAATGCCGGTGAAGCCCGTCCCGTGGCCGGGCTCAGGGCCCAGTGTCCGGTTCTCGTTACCGTTTGCGTGGGACAGCTCGGAGCCTTTACAGGCCGAGTGTCCACCGCCGCACGACAGGGCACCCCGAGATGTCGCAGCGGGGCCAGCGCAGGTGTTTGCTCTTACCTTCGCCACCGCAGGCCTGCCGGTGCAGCCCTTCGCACCTGCCTCGCACCTGCCTCGTTCCTTTCAGCCAGCGGACTGGCCCTGGGCTGGCCCTCGGGGGGCCTGGCGCGTCTGGCGCGTGACCTGTGACCTCCCAGCTAGGGCGGGCCACACTCAGATCTGCCTCCTCAGAGGGGGTGGGGCAATCTGTGTTGGGCAGCACCAGGCCTTGCGTTTGTTTTCGCCTCTCCTGGGTTTTGCTGGTTTTCAGTGCTCACAGGTGCCAACTGCAGCGGCGAGTTAAAGACACTCCTCTCTCGCCTTTGGAGTTGTTGCCGTGGGCACGGGCTGGGCCCGGCAGGCCGTGGAGGTGGCTAGGACCCATCTGGCCTGGGGTTCTGACCGGGGCAGAGGGTCAGTCCTAGGGTTGGTATGAGAGGAAGTGGTTCCCTGTGAGGTCACAGGAAGTGACCTGGTCAGGGCTCCCTGGGCAGTACTGTGGCTGTCAGTGGGCTCCACCGGGAGGACGGAGGCCGGGCGGTCCGACCTCCACTGAGGCCGCCCTGTCTTTTGCAGGCTACTATATGGGCATGTGCTTCGCAGCCTCGGAGAAACAGCTCTTCCCCCCCAGCCAGGCCCCAGAGGCCTGGCGGCTCTTCTTCCTGCTGGCGGTGCTCCTGCCCACCGTTGCCGGCACCCTGATCTACTACTGGTACCGGGATGGGTGGGCCCGCCACCCGCTGGCCCGCTCCTTGGCCCTCTACGCCCTCCCGCAGTCGGGCTGGCAGGCCGTTGCCTCCTCCGTCAACACCGAGTTCCGGAGGATTGACAAGTTTGCCACAGGGGCACCGGGCGCCCGCGTGATTGTGACAGACACGTGGGTGATGAAGGTGACCACGTACCGTGTACACGTGGCCCAGCAGCAGGACGTGCACCTGACTGTCACGGAGTCACAGCAGCACGAGCTCTCGCCGGACTCGAACTTGCCCGTGCAGCTCCTCACCATCCGCGTGGCCAGCAGCAGCCCTGCGGTGCAGGCCTTCGACATCCGGTAGGTGGGCCCGTGGTGGGCCGGGGCTGGAGCTCCACCGGGCCTCATGCCCAGCTGGCCCATGGTTCCGGTCTCGGTGTCCCTCTGGGAGGCGCTGACGGGTGGGAGTGGCCCCTCCGGTGTGACCTTTGCCCAGGGCCCCTGTCACCTGCCCCAGGCCTCTTCCCTGACCCTCTGCTCCCTTCCTGCCCCATGGGCACCCCTGCGCTTCCCCTTTATCCACGTCGTGTCCTCTGAGCTGCCTTCTCCCCTTTCTCGGGGGAGCTCACGGGGACCTGCGGGGGCTGGACGGGACAGAGGCTGGGTGGCTGCCTCACCTCGGAGGCTTAGGCTGGAGCCGAGGTCCTCCCGTCTCGTTCAGGCCGCACTGGTCTGCTGGGCCCCTGCTGGGACACGCGTTGCTCCTGAACCTGCAGAGACCAGGCACTGGGTCTGTTGGCTCTGGCCTCGTGGCCATCTTTGTGGGTTGGTTTTCACTGGGCAGCTGGGCTGTGCCTGCAGCCTCCACGTTCTGTTTGTTTGTGGGCACCCTGGTCCCCGCAGGGTGCAGTCTTGGCCTCCCTGATGCCCGTCCCAGGGTTCTCGCCAGGCTGCCGGGGAGCAGGGTCCCGCCCCACAGGGCCCAGGGACCCCAGCTCAGCAGCCCCGCCTCGTGCAGGCTGAACTCCACGGAGTACGGCGAGCTGTGCGAGAAGATCCGGGCGCCCATCCTCCGAGCGGCCAACGTGGTCATCCGCCAGAGCCTGGGCGACCTGTTCCTGGAGACGTTCGCCTCCCTGGTGGAGGTCAACCCGGCCTATGCTGTCCCCAGCAGCCAGGTGGGGGGCTGTGGGAGGGCCGGGGTGGTGGGTGGGCTCCTCCTGCTAGGCCTCCATGGACCAGGTCCCTGGGGTGCAGTGGGGGACCCCTCGGGGGTGTCCGGTGGCCTCCTGTGACCTCCTTGGGCTACCCGTAGGAGCTGGAGGCGTGCATCGGCTGCATGCAGACGCGTGCCAGCGTGAAGCTGGTGAAGACCTGCCAGGAGGCGGCCGAGGGCGAGTGCCAGCAGTGCTACTGCCGCCCCATGTGGTGTCTCACCTGCATGGGCAAGTGGTTTGCCAGCCGCCAGGACCCGCAGCGCCCTGACACCTGGCTGGCCAGCCGTGTGCCCTGCCCCACCTGCCGTGCACGCTTCTGCATCCTGGACGTGTGTGCTGTGCGCTGAGTTGTCTGGGCCAGGGTGAGGGAGTGGCTGTGGGCGTCCTTCCAGCCCTGCCAGGGCCTCCACTGCTGCCTCGGGGAGCAGCCAGGCCTCCAGGCCTCCAGGCCCAGGCCTCCTTACCCAGCGGCAGAAGGACAAGGGCTTTTTTTAAGAAAGGAAGTTCTCTGCCCGAGTTGGGGTGGGGGCGGGGGATGGATCTTTCGGGCCTGCCGCCTTCATTTCCCACCCCCTGGGTCGGGGCGGTACAGGTCACAGAACAGCGTGGGCCCATTGCCCGGGTGTTCGGGCCCCTTGAGCTGCTTTTGGGAGACTGGTGCCTGTTCCAGACGGCCCTGACCTGGGCCACTTGCCTTAATTTTATGGAGCACATCTGCCTCTTGGTTACATGCCAGACGCAGATTCACCCGAGACGGGTTGTGGTCAGTTCTGCTACCGTCCCCACGCTGGCTGCTGGCCCCACGGAGGCTGCTCTGTGGAGCTGGGGCAGAACCTGGCAGTGGAGGGGAGACCCAGGGTGCCACTGCGTGGTGACAGCACCACCCAGGGCTTCCTGGTGGCTGCTCCTGGATGGAGGGGCCCCTAATCGCTCCTGGCCCCCAGGGACTCGGCTTCCCATCAGGGGCCAGGCAAGGCACTGGCTGCTTTCAGGTGCCTGTCCCTTAGCTGTGTGCTCCCAGGGCCACTCGTCCCCTGGAGGGTCACTGCCTGTATGCCTTCTGCTGCCCCCAAGAGTGCAGGGAAGAGCTGAGTTCCAAATTCCTGGCTGGTGAGGCGGTGAGCTGAAGACCGAGTGCCATAGTGACGTCCTGCCTTTACATGAACTTGTGAGGATGCAGGAGGGACTGGCCACAGCCCACGGGGCCCACCCGGGTCAGCAGGGGACATGCCCAGCAGCCAGGGCACCGACTGGTGTCTCCCCGAGCTCTGGCGGTGCAGGTGTGGGGGCAGTGCCAGGGCCCCGCTCAGACGGTATGGCCGCTGGAGCCCTCAGACTCGTGACTCGAAAACCCCCTAAAACTGGCCCCTTTAAGCAGAGGCGATGCACCCAGCTGGTCCAGCGCACCCAGGGCCATGCTGAACCCCAGGGATCTGTGGGTGGAGAATGTGTGTGCCCTTGGGGTGCGCAGCAGGTGAAGGCAGTAGAGGCGCCAGGCTGAGTTCCAGGTGCTGCCTGGGGAGGGCCGGTGCGGGGCATTTTTTCTACAAGAGGAACTGACCTAGTTTTATAAAGATAAGTCTGTTGTAGTTAAGTGACACAGCCTTCAATAAAACCTTAGCCTGAGGTTAAACGCACTTTCTCCGAGTGGACTGTTTTTCCTGCTATTCAAGCTTTGGTGGCAGGCGAGGAGAAGCCACCCTAAAAGTGTGCCCACTTCAGTGTGGGGGTTGCGTGCAGAAGGAGGAGGAAGGGGGCCGCCTCCCGGGGGACCTCCCCTCCGCTTTCCTGCTGGGGTGCAGATCTGCGAAGCCCATTTCCCCTGAGCGGCTGGGGGGGGCGGGCCCAGTGGTCCGGGGCCGGCGTTCCGGTTGGAGGGGAGGTGGCCTGGGCCCCGGGGGACTGAGGTCAACCCGGGACACTGGTGGCCCGAGGGCGCAGGCCTCCCCCTGCTCTTGCGAAGTCCGGGGTAGGGGCCTGGGGGGCCCAGGGCCTGCTGCCCAGGCTCGGGGGTGGGAGGGGGCGAGTTCCCCAACGCTCTCGCTGCCGGACCCGAAATAGTTTTAGGGGAGTGGCACATGTAAGCCCAGGCCGGGTGGCTCCGCGGGCTAGAGCGTCGCCCTGGTTCGCCAGGGTTGAGGGTTCGACCCCCAGTCGGGGCGCGTACAAGTCGGTGTCTCACTCTCTCTCTCCAATCAATGAAAAACAAATAAAAAAACTCGACTTTTCTGCGTCCAGAATCCGAGGTCTCTTTCCACCTGGGGCCTTCTTCCTGGCCGGGGCTCGGCGGGGCGGGCCGGGGCGGGCTGAGCGCGGGAGGCGGCGCTGGAATCGGCCGAGGGAGCGGTGCTGGGAGGTGGGACCTGACCATGCGCGGCGCCGGCCGCCGTCCCGGCTCACAAGTTTCCGCAGACGTGCGAGGGGTGAAGACAAGCTTTTCGCGCGTCCCCGCCACCGCCCCTTCCGGGTTCCCGTTCCCGCCAGCGCGCGGAACGCCGCCGCCTGGTGGACCAATCGGAGACAGCCCTCGCCAGGGCCTGGGCCAATGGGAGGGCCGAGCCTCTGGCCTCCCCGCAAGCGTCCGCGTCGCGCGCTCCCGAATCTCCCGCCAGTGCCCCGCCCTGCCCGCGAAGGAGCGTCCAATCAGCGCCCGAGGGCTGCGGGCGCCTCCACGTCGAGGGGCGATTTTTTTTCTGGGTCACGTGCTCAGTCAGCCCCACGGCGTCTGCCCTCCTGCAGCCAGCGGCGTCCGAACGGCGTCTTCGCGTCGCCTACGGTCCTAGGCCGCCTGCGCGGCGCGCGTTCGAGCGGGCTCCCCCCGCGGGCCCGTTGGTCTCGTCCGCGGGGCGCGGGACAGCGCGTCGCGGGGCGGGGCGGGGTGGATAAAGGCGGTTGGGGGCGGGGCGCTCAGTGTGTCTGCGCCGCGGGAGAAGACGCGCTGGCTGCTGCTCTTCGGAAATGGCCTGCAGCCCGCGAAGCCCCCCGAGGTACCGGAGCCGCTGCGACCGCGACGCCAGGTGAGGGCGGGCCGCGCGCTGCGGGCGGACCAGACCGGGGCGCGGGGCGGCGGGGGGGCGCGGTCCGGCTCGCCCGCCCTGACGCGGCCTCTCGCCCGCAGCCCGCCGCCGCCAGCGAGATGGAGCCTCGGGCGCAAGCGCAGAGCCGACGGCCCGCACGGGGCGTCCGAGGACGCCGAGGGCCCCGCGAAGCCGGCGGACGACCGCAGACCCGACAGGTGGGCCCTGCGCGCACTCGGGGCAGCAGGCGTGGGCGGCGGGGTGGCTGGGGTGTCAGGGTGTCAGGCGCCCGTCCCGCCCCGCGCGACTGCGCGGCCCTTGCGGGTCCCGGGAGGGGCCCCGTGGAAGGTGTCAGCGCCTCAGGCGGCCGCCCCTTTGTGTTCTCGGGCTGCTGGGCGGGCGCCGCCTTGGGAGGTGAGGTGTCGGGGCCGCCGAGGTGGCAGCCGAGCGCTCCCCTCTCCCGGGAGCCTTTTGCGGCGTGTGCGTGTCTCCTAGGCCCGGCGGCGGCGCGCCGGAGCGAGGTCGGGACCCGTGCCCGGCGAGGTTCCGCTTTTGTCGTGCCCGTGGCCGGCGGCGCTGGCTCTGCGGTCCCTGGGAGCGTCAGGCACCGAGGCCTTTGTCCTGCCGGCGGGCGGAGGCCGTGGGCGCGGGACGACTAAGCAGAAGTGCCGGGGAGCGGGCGCAGGGGAGACTGGAGGCCGGACGCCGAGGGCGTGCCCGTGACTTGCGGGGCGCAGGGCGGCCCCGGGGTTTCGGAGCTGAGCAGCTCCGTCGTTGGCCGGGTTGGGCCTGGCCTGGGGAAGGGTCGGGGGTCAGGCTGCGAAGGTGCCAGGAGAGCGGATGACGTCGGGAGCTAATGGGATCAGAGAGTGGCGGGAGGCCGCTCCCGTGAGTCTCAAAGGTGAGGCCTGTAGAGCGGACAGGTGAGCCAGGAGGGACCCCGCAGGGCCCTGGGCTGGATGGGAAGACTGAAGACTGGGGCGGCGGCACCGGTGGGATGCAGCCCTGAGGCCCCGGAGCACCGTGGGCTCCCCTCGGGTGAAGAGGAGAGGTGTGTGTCCCCACAGGCTCCCCAGCCAGCCACTCGGGCCTCCTTCCGCTTCCGGTGCGGTAGGAAGGCTCCAGTCCTCCGCCCTTTCCCCTGCCGCTCGGCTCACACGGCCTGGCCTGACGCTGTTCTCCGCAGCCCCCGGTCCTGCAACCAGGGCCGGGCCTGTGGGCGGGGCCTGGCCCGGGGCCAGCGGCACGTGCTCACAGGTCACAGGGTGCAGGTTTGGTTCCGCCGGAGTGCTTTCCCCGGGAGCACTCCCGTCTGCGGGTGGAATGGGGTGAGTGTACCCTGCCTCGTCTAAGAGGGGGCTTTAGCCCCATGAACGGGAGATGCAGCGGCAGGTCACTCGTAAGCACCTGTGGAACGTTCAGGAGACCCAGACCTGAGCCCCGCGAGCAGCCAGTGAGTGGGGTTGCCCGCGTCCAGCCAGTGGCCCAGCCTGCGTTTCCGCATCCTTGACACGGCCACAGAGTCCGTCTGGCTTTGGGGTCGTTGATTAGGGCTCCCACTCTGCCAACGGTTTTCAGACTTTGGAAAGTTACTTTTGGAAATCCACTTTGGGAGTCTGTGGGCGGGGCAACCAGAGAAGAAAGGAGAGCTTCATGAAGGGATGCATCACTTGCTACTGTGTTTCCAGTGTGTCGTGGGCGGGCACCTAGGGCAGACAGGGCTGCTTATCGTGAAAACATGAGCTGACGTTTAATGATGGACCAGCGACTCTAACGGCTGGAGTTCTTGGCATCGAGCCTTGTGTGTTCAAACTGTCTAATCTCAACGGCTTCCTTGAGCTCTGGGCGCAGCTGAGCTCCTGGGTTCCATAGCACCCCGCCCCGGGGGCCACCTTTCCCCGTAGACGGAGTCCTAATGCAGCGAGGACCCCCGTGTCTGTTCCTGTCCCCCCACCCCCCAGTTTTAACCGTCACGGGGCGTGTTCTGAGTCAGCACCTGCACGTCTGCAAGGAGCCCGTAGCCGTTGTTTATCAGGTCACCTCACGGTGCCGGTCACTCTGCTCAGCGTGAAGTGTGTCCCCTGACGTCCTTAAGGAGCCAGAAAATGAACTCCTTTTGCACAGAAGGGAACGCACTGTCTTAGGCCCCGTCTCAGTGCAGAGGAGGCCCTGCCGACCCCCGCCTGCCTCCCCACGGACTCTCTCCTCACGATGTGGCCTGAGCTGGCCCCTGGTGGGTGCACAGAGCATGCTCCACCAAAGTCCAGAGAGCAGCTTTTCAGACGCAGCCAGCCAGGGAGTCCCTGGGGGAGCGGGCAGGGCCCCTCCCTCGACGCTCCCCAGACTCCCTCGGGCTGGGTCCCGGTGTCCCACCTGAAAGGACACGGCCAGCGTGTCACGGCTCGGGTGGGTTTCCCTTTCTCTGCAGCTTCACCACTCCCGAGGGCCCGAAGCCCCGTTCCAGGTGTTCGGATTGGGCCAGTGCCGTGGAGGAGGACGAGATGAGGACCAGAGTGAACAAAGAGATCGCAAGGTGTGTGCTTTAGACCACATTCGGAAACGCTGCCTGTGGTCCGCCCCAGACCACAGCGGGCGGGTGTCGGCGCGGCGGGCGCGAGCGTCTGGTCTCAGGCCCGCAGCGCCAGCAGCTCCTGGGACCCTGGCGGAAGTGTGGGTTCTCGGGCCCCCCGCACGCTCGCCCGCTGGGAGGGAAACTCCAGGGGGCCCTCCAGGCGACTCTGCTTCCTGAGGTTTGAGGACTGCTGTCTCGTGGCTGTCCCTGCGGGCCTCGGCTGGCTGGCAGAGGACCGTCACGTCGTGCCCAGCCCTCCATGCGGGGCGCCGGGCCTGCAGGCTCGGGAGGTGCTCTCTGCAGAGAGGGGCGAGCGTGCTCCTGGCCGACGCCTGGCCCAGGCAGCCGCCGCAGTGGCCAGAGCCCAGAAGGGACTCCCTGGCCTGGCGTCTGCGCCCCTCGCAGTCGCGCCCCAGGCTCTCCCAAGCTCTGAGCTGCTTCCTCTTGTGGACTCTTCGGCTCAGGGGGCGCCCCCTGAAGCCCTGCTTGTCTCCCTCGGTGACGTTTCGCTGGTGTTTGGGGGCCTTTCTCCCCGTCGATGTGTGCTGTCCGACCCAGCTGGGTGAACAAGGAGTTAAAATGTCGTGGCTCGTGACGAGCTGAAGTGTGTTGAGCCAGGAGCGCGCTGTTCCCCCTGAGGGGGACGCTTGGGGTGGGGTGGGGTGGGGTGGCACGGCCCACCGCTGCAGGGCTGGGGCATTGGCAGCCGCCTGTGCGGGAGAGGTGCGGGCACAGGGGCTCCGGGCGTCGGCAGACGTGGTTCCCCCCCCCCAGCGTCCCCGACCCCCTGCGGTTCGTGGGCGGGCCTCAGTCCGGTGGCCGCGGAGCTCGGCTGCTTGCCCTGGTTTCCGTGCCCTGCTCCCAAGGCTCGGGGCGGTGCTTTCGGAGTACCTGGGTGCTCCGTGCGCCCCACCCCGTCACCCCTCGCTGGGGGCTGTCTGCCGCTCTTAGGTTGTGTGGGGGACCTTCCTTGTTCCTCGGTTGTCTCACAGGTCCCTCTGAAAATAGTCCTCCTTTGTAGACCAGGCCTGCTCTGTCTGGGCCCCTCTGTCCACCACACCCCCTGTGACAGTGCCACCGTCTGGGTAACCCCCGGGCACGTGGGTGCTGGGGGCGGCTGGCAGCCTCACCCTGGCTGGGGCTGTGAGAGTTCGGCTCACGGAGGGTGACCCGGCGGCTGTCTGACAGCTTGGAAAGGGGCTTTTGCCCCCCGGGGGTCCTGGAGAGAGAGGAGGTGTGGGGCGGGCAGGGTCTCAGTCCTCACGGGACGCTGTGTGGTCAGTGCTGCGGTGGAGACACCGGAGACGAGCCGGTTCTCTGCCCCCTGGTGCCCCGACGGCGGGCGGCCGCTGCCCTGCGGGAGGAGGCACAGTGACGCGTGACAGCTGAGACAGGACCTGCCGCTGGGGGCGGTCCGCGGTGCCGGTGGCAGAGGGTTGGGCCGTTGCCCTGGTGGAGACAGCCTCCCCCATGGGGCCACGGACGGCGAGGGCTGGGCCTCCCTCCGAGGTCGAGGCGGTGCGTGTGCCCCGCTGGCACAGAGGCCCTATGGCAGGTAGCTGTGCCGTCAGCGGGAAGCCCTCGGTTCCAGCTAGCACACGCACGCGTGTTTTGAGGCTGCAGGGCTCGGGGAGCTGAGTGTCCTTGTTGCTGGGGTCTTGGTCAGGGCAGCGGTGCCCAGCCTCTCGGGCACCAGGGCCGGCTTGCTGGTTTGCCCCCTGCCCCCTCCTGCTGTGCAGCCCGGGGTCGGGGCCCCTGCATTAGGGCTCTTCCGGCCTCGAGGAGCCGGCGTTCCCTGCGGGCCTGCAGGCACCGGCACGATGGTGCTCCCTCCAGACCGCTGGCTTCAGGCACTCCGTCGTCTCCTGAGAGAGAGTGGCTGGGGGACGGGTGGACGACAGACGGCCCGGCAGGCCCAGCCGGCCCTGCTCAGCCGCCCACAGCGCTCGGCGCGCGTCCCCCTGCTGCTCTGGACGCCGCGGGGGTGTCATGGCCCTGCCCGTGCCCTCCAACAACAGCAACCTCTGCTCGGCCCCCAGGTACAAGAGGAAGCTCCTGATAAACGACTTCGGGAGAGAGCGGAAGGCGTCGCTGGGAAGGTGGGTGCTGTCTTCTTGCCTTCCTGGTGGGGCAGGCTGTGGCCCTTCCCCGAGGAAGGGCGGGCCCAGGAGGCGCTGGGGTGTCTGTGGCATTTACCGCAAGTCCCTTCTGCACTGGCTGGGGGGCATTGTGCCGGGCTGGCCAGAGAGCCCGTTCAGTTCTTCCCGTAAAGCGAAAGAGAAGTTTTTCATTTTCACCCATAACTTTACTGATTTGGAGTGCTGAGTCTCGGCGGTCCCCCGCTCACGGCTTCTCGTGGGGAGGGGCCGAGGGCTGTGCTGAGCACCTTCCCGTGCGGAGAACACAGCCCCGCAGCACAGGGCCGTCGGGCCGAAACGCCAGCAGCCCCAGGGAACCCCGCAGACCACTTCCAACACGTCCCATCAGTCACAGCGCCTTCTCCACACCCTGCACAAGTGTTGTTTTTGTACTTCAGCCTCATTTTCACCTTCCTTGAAGTAATAAGCTGTAACATGCCAGAAATGTTTATTTTCTTCTATCTTCAATATTAAAACGGCTGCACAAAAATTCACCAATTTTGTAAGTTTCTGTAAACGCATGCTGCTGTGGCAGTTGTCGCAGTACAGCCTAACCACACGGTTTCTGGCGAAGTTAAAGACAAGCACCCGAGCGCCGTTGGGGCCGCACACGGAGAACCAAAGAGCTTTCTGGCCAACCCGGTGTCTGTCGCATGCTTGATTCCCACGCGCGCGGAGGTGTGGGCCGTGCCAGGGCTGTCTGGTTTGCACTCCCGAGGGCGGGCCCCTCGGCTACTGCTCCTGCACCCTCCTGCACGGTGACTCTGGTTGCGAGGGGTGTTCTGGTGTCGCTTGCGTCCTCTGCAGCTGTGATGCGAAGGCGGCCCCGCCCGCGGTGCCGGCCGACCTGGAGACGGACGAGAGCGTCCTGATGAGGAGGCAGAAGCAGATCAACTACGGAAAGAACACCATGGCCTACGACCGCTACATCAGGGAGGTCCCCAGGTAGGCCGCCGGCGCGCAGACGCCCAGACGGTGAAGCTGGCCCTGGGCCCCAGCCGGCTGCCTGTGTGAAGGCACCGGGGGCCGGTGCTGGAGAAGCCACGGGCGGGAAGGGCTGAGTAGATGAGACGGACATCCCGTTTCTCAGGACTCGCAGCTGCCTTGTAGCCGCCGAGTCTTCGCAGACACGAGGGCGGGGGGGGTGGTGTTCACGGCGCAGGGTCCTCCTGGGGCCCCGGGAGCGCGGCCCGCACGCCCAGGCCGCTCGTGCTCCCGGCTCCCTCACGGACACACGCCTCTCAGGCGGGTGCCGCTTCCTCGGAAGGACTGGGCTTCAGACACGCCTTTCTCGGCACAGGTCACGGGGGTCAGGGAGTCAGAGAGGCGGTGCTCTTCCGGCCACCACCTGGCTCGTTTGGAGAACACCGGCCTGGGACATTTTAGGAGCGCAGTCGCAGCAGCCTTGGGCGGGTCTTCGGGCTGTGTGCTGGGATAACCTTCCTCTCCTGCAGGCACCTTCGGCAGCCTGGCATCCACCCCAAGACCCCCAACAAGTTCAAGAAGTACAGCCGGCGCTCGTGGGACCAGCAGATCAAACTCTGGAAGGTGGCTCTGCACTTTTGGGACCCTCCAGCTGAAGAAGGGTGTGATTTTCAAGAAATGTATGTCTACTGCTTTTCTTTCTTTAGGACTTTATATACTTATTTTTTAGGGGAGTTAGTAGGAGAGAAACATCTATCTGATGCTTCTCGTACGCACCGGGATGGGGACCAGACTCGCACACCCAGGCCTGTGCTCTGTCCGGGACCTGAACCGGCGACCTTCACGGTGTGCAGCACGACGCCCAGCCTGCTGAGCCACGTGGGTCAGGGCTTGTATTGCCTTCCCGTCCTCTGTTTCTGCAGCTCGCGCCCTGACCGGGTGGGCTGTCACGAGGCAGTCATTTGTCAAAACAGAGGCTAGAAAGTCTAGAAACAGGTGGGGTTTTGTTTACTTACCGTTTGAGGTGGCCGACTTCAGAGGGAGGGGCAGAGAACGGTGGGCCTGTCCTCCCGCCCCTGTCTGCGGTGTCGGCCGGTCTGGTCTGCGCCCTGGGCTGTCGGACGGCCCCGAGCCACCCAGCCAGCGCCTCTTCTGTTGGCTTTTAGGATCGACAGTCTGAAAGTCATTTGAATAATTTGTATTGAAGTAAAACTTAAGGGTTTTGTCCTTTCCCTGTTGGTTTTAAATCCACGTCTTGTTGGGAAGACCTCAGGCCTGAACACGTGCCACGTGGTCAGGATGCCGGGCGAGCAGAGAGGTGGAGAGTGTGGTCCTGCTCCGCCTTCTGCTGCAGTTTCTTGGATTTTCGCTTTGTGCCAGGGAAATTTATTAGAAGCTGTCGTGTTCGAGACGACTTCTAGCGTGGCTTCACAAATGCGGCCTCACAGATGTTATGCTGATGTTTCTGCCAGCGTGACAGTGTCCCATTCTCTTCACGGGTGGAGCACTGGAGAAATGAGTGACGGGGGTCGTCCGGTCTGCCCCCGCCCCCACCCCCAGACCTGGCTTCGGTCGGTGCCTCTGCTGGCAGGGGTGCTCAACTTGAGGGTGTGCACCGCTGCCCCCTGGGCGAGACAGCCACACCTCTGTGCGGCTGGGCAGGCGCGGTCCAGGCGGCGAGTCCCGGAAGGCCGTTGTCGCGGGGCCGAGGGGCTTTAGCGAGCGCTCGTGGGACTCGCCATGGCACAGGTCCCCCGGCTCTGCTCGGTGGGGCTGAGGCTGTTTGGTTCCACAGGCGCCCCGTGGACCTCGGGGAGATGGAGACGGAATCTGTGGAGAGCAGCTCCGAGTCCCAGGCCAGCTCTCAGGACAACAACTTGGTGAGTGCCTGTCCTCGCTCCCCTCGCGGCGTGGTGTCTCGGATCACGGGTCGATCATGGGTCGGGCACGCACGCCCTTCGTAAACTGCGCTCTCGCCGCATTGTGATTCGGACGCCTCTGAGAAAGGGCCCCTGCCCCTCCCCCTGCCCCTCCCCCTCCTCAGGTGACCATCTGAAGGAGTGGGAGCATTCCTAGGTAGTGGCCTCCATTTAGGTTTTTGGTTCAGTCCAGCTAATCCCATTTTCCTGGAAAAGGAGAAGGTCTTTCCCCTCGGGCTGCAGCGTCCCTTCCCGGCTGCGCTGGGCCTGTGCGGCGCACTGCTGCCTGACGTCACCAGTGCAGTGCTGTGTGTCTGGGGGTTTCCCCCATGTCTGCCAATTTTTAAAAATCCCATGCTTTTGCCGGGGGGAGGGGTCCGACATTAAAAGCAATTAAGTCACATTTCCAGTTCCATGGTTTTGGGTGGGTGCACATTTTTGCAGACTTTTAAAAAAAATTAACCTAGAGGGAGAGCGCGAGAGACGCCGTGCGTGGCTGCACTGACGGGCGTGCTCGTTGGTTGCTGCCTGCGTGTGTCCTCCATGGGGACCAGACCCGCAGCCCTGGCGTGTCCGACCGGGCCCCCGGCCAGGGCTCTCGCAGCCTTCCCTGTCCGAGCAGACCCACATCAGCAGGCCACTGGGAAAGGCCGGGCCCTTTGCTGCCCTCACGCAGGAGCCCACAGAGTGTCCGCACGTGGGCTGTGTGGCCGGCGCAGCCAGTGTGAGAGCCGGCTCGGCTGGGAAGCCCCCTCGGGGTTGTGAGACATTCACGCATCCCGCGAGGTCCCCCTGGCCGGAGCGCGAGCAGCTCGGAAGCCCGTGCACTGGCGCCACCCTCCCCGGGTCAGCCCGGTCCCCGCCGCCAGGCCCTGCGCGCTCGCTCTGTGGTGAGCACGGCCGGGACCGCGGTGCCCTCGCCCCGCCTGCCCCCGCCGCACCCGGTGCGCTGCACAGCGGGGCTCCCACGGGACTCGCACGGGTTGCGCGGTGTGGGGAGTGGCCTCCGCGCTTGGGGTGACATGGGCTTGGCGAGGGGCTGTCCTCGTCCCCCGTGCTGGCGCTCAGGTAGTCTGGTGTGACAGCCTCACCAGTCGTGGGGACATGGGTCACCGAGCCCGCACAGCAGCCCCCGAGCCCCCGTCCCAGCTGAGGGGCTGCGGCTCAGAGAGGCCTCGCAGGGCCCGGCAGTTTCCAGTCTGGGGGGCGGTGGTTAGTGGGGTGGGGTCGCACACGCCCAGCTGTGGCAGAGTGAAATGTCACTCGTGACGCCTCATCAGCCACAGGTTCCCTGTGGTGCACGCCAGCGCTGCAGGCCTTTGCTCCTGGTGACCGGCCTTAGGCCTGGGGTGCTGGGGCCGCGGGAGGGGGCCCTCCCCGCCTGGGTGGGCCGGCTGTGACCACCGCCTCTGTTCCAGGACATGTACTCGGGCACACCCACCAAAGTCAGACACGTGGACTGCCGGCTGGAGGACGAGTTCGACCTGGAAGCCTGTTTAACCGAGCCCCTGAAAGACTTCTCGGCCATGAGCTAACCAACCGGCGCCGTGCAGCGCCTCGGGCCTGGCGCGGCGGAGGGCCAGCCCCGCGAGCGTGTGCTCGGCACACGGCGGCTCCTGTTCGTGGTCTGTTTTCTCCTGGTGAATTGTTCTCCTCGCCTTCTTTTCTTAAGAAACAATTTTACGTACATTGAGTGAATTGTGCATGTTTTAAGTCGTAAACGGAACTAAATCCGGTGAAAACCGACCTGGCCGCAACCTTACGAGAGACTCACCGCTCGGTCCCCGCCGTCCGCGTGTCCCCCCAGAGCACACCGGAGCTGGTTTTCCGCCCCTGTCCCGGCGAGAGGCTGCCGCTGCCCCGACGGCTGGTGTGGGCAGGGCCGGGCTGGCGTCGGCGCTCTGGGCTGGTGTCCGTCGGGGTGTCGCACACTCGGGCCCCTGGACGTCTTCATGGGAACTCAGTTTTCGGCCTCTCGTCAGTATGTCGAGGAGGCTCCTGCCCACATGCAGAGAGCACTGGGGAGTCGGAGACGCTGAGGTGACAGGTTTTACTCAGTTACACAGTCTTAGTGGGGAACTTGTAAATAGTGTGAGGTGGGTCTTCTGCTGGACGCACTCCAAGAGCTAGGGCAGCAAAGGGGCTCAGGAAGCACATTTTCACCCAGTTAACGTGCCACGTAAAGTCGCTGTAAATGACGATGTACACATTTTCTGTCCAGGCATTCAGCTGTACACTTCTCGTTGAGACTGTTCTGTTTCTACTGCTTTTGTACGGAATGAGATTGCAAGAATAAAAAGAACCTTGAACGGACTGGCTGCGCTGCCAGATGGGCTAGCTGCTGGGACGGTTTCTGTGTTGGGAGGATCCGAGTGAGCTTCCGTCCGCGCCACGTGACACGGGGAGGCCAGTGCACGGCGGGGGCAGAACCATTCCCGTGGCCCAGACTTGTGTGTCCGTCCATCTCCCCCCCCCCCCCCGGCTTCCTGCTGAGGAGGCCTTACCTCTGCTGCGGGGCTGGAGCCGGAGCCAGGGCGGCCGGTGCTCACCCGGGGCCTGGGCGTGCGGGCTGCCGGCCTGCCCCGCCTCCCGAGCCAGGCTGCGAAGTCTGCACCGGGGCGGAGTGAGTGCGGGACTGGGCCCTGCCCGCTGCTGCCGCCCGCGGCTGTGGGCCCCAAGCGCTCCTTTGAGACTCCCTTCAGGCCGGGGGTGGGCGTTTCCGAAGGGCAGGAGCCCGTCCCTGGTCGTCCAGCGTTTGTTGAGCCCCTGCCGCGCCGGGCACCGTCCAGCAGACACCGGACGTGCAGGCAGCGGTGCCCTGCTGGGGGCGAGACAGTGAATGTGGTGTCAGGTTCAAGGGTAAGGGAGTGGGGGGCCGTCCCCGGGTGGTGGGACACACGAGTGGTTGGGAGAGGCCCAATAGTGGTATTTCGGCAGGGACAGCCTCTGGGGACAGGCACTTACCCCACACACAGGGCAGCGGGGGCAAGGGCCCTGAGGGGGCTGGTGCGCGGGCTGCCAGCCAGGTCCTCAGGTGTGGGAGGCTGGGCACGGGGCGGGCAGGGCAGGGGCGGCACATGCTGGCGTGGTGCTGGGAGGCGGGGCGTGGTGCGCCCCAGGTGAGACTGCCGGTCGGCTCGGAAGGTTCCTCTGGCTGCCCACCGCCGACACCCCCAGGGAACGGGAGCGGCCCTGGGAGGTCCCAGCGGTCCCAGCCTTTCCAGATGGTGAGGGAGGCCAACTCCGAGGAACGGCCTCTGAGTGGACCCGAGGTCGGAGAGCAGCCAGCAGGACGTGGTCCGTGGCCAGATAAAGCAGTGTCAGGGCCTCTTTGGAGTGGGGCCGTCAACAGGAGGACTTCCCAGAAACGTGGGGCCTGGTCGCTCAGCAGGGGCTCCAGGCAGGGCAGCGCTTGTTTTGAGGAGGCCTGTGTGTGTGGCTCTTGTCACAGGAACCCCAGCGCTGTTCACAGGAGACTCAGAAGCTTTGGGAAATCACATTGTCAGACACGCTTCCAGTTTGGACTGAAGAGGATGGCGCGCAGGCTGAGAAAGCTACGCAGCTGCAGGCCGGCCCCTTTCCTGGAGAGGGGCTCCAGAGGGCGGGGCTCGGAGGTCCCTGACGGGGTCAGGGACTGCTGTGGCCAGGACTCCTGTCCTCCACTCCCCGCCCACCGCTGCCCTCGGGAGTGTCCGCCACAGCCCCCCTGGTGTGCTGCGGGAGGGTGGTGGTGTGCGTGCCGGGGACAGAGGGCAGGTGCGCCGTGTCTCTGTTCCGAGGTGTCCAGGCTGAGGGCCGTCCATCCGAGGAGGGCCAGTCGCAGTGTGGGGGTCTGGACCTGGGGCTGATGCTGTAGGAGGGCGAGACCGGAGGCCTGGGGAGGGTGGGTGTGGGGCCCTAAACCGGGTCAAGGCGCCTGGGCTGGCCGCAGCCGGTGAAGGAGGGGTCAGGGTCGGGGCTGGGGGGTGGACCTGGGCTTTCCTGTCAGTGAGGTGGGCAGCTGGGGTGGCCTTGCGTGGGGGCACGAAGTCTGGCTTGGGTTCCGGAAGAATCTGCTCTGGCTGCTAGCTCTTCCTTCACATTTCAATTCTTGGGCGGCTCCGGAGCCCCAAGGAAATCGAACTTCAAGGCTTCTGTGCCCACCTTTTAATGCTGCTAACGTAATCCAGGATTTCCTGCGTGGCCTACGAGCACCCAGCCCGCTGGGACGGAGGTGTCCTTGGTCTCAGCCTGGCCCGCCGAACCGGGATGTGTCGGGACTGAACTGGGTCCCTCCAGCCCGGTGAATCTTCACAGCTCCCAGCTGACGGCTGTCTCGGTCCCCTTGGTGCGTCCTCTTCCTGGCGCCCCGTGGACGGAGGGACGTGGCCGGCCCTTCGGGGTGGTCGTCCGCCCCCCGCCCCCACTCCCCACTCCCCGCTCCCGGGTACCATGAGGCCCTTCTGGGTTCTCGCCGGCCCGTCAGGACCCTGACCTCCAGGTGCGCTTTCTCAGCAACTCGGCCGTCAGGTCGCTGACGCCTCTGTCCCTTTGGCAGGACCGTGGCGATGAGCACCCAGGCGAGTCGACAGCCTGGACCCGAAGGCTGCACTTCCGGGGGACCCAGGTGGGCGACTCTTCTGATGACCGCAGAGCTCACAGTGTCTTCTTTCCACGAAGGCAAATGTGAAAGGCCTGCTGGGTCAAGCCACGGTACCAGACTCAGCCAACCGCGAGTGCCTGGAGAAGCACCGTGTGAGTGTCTCCTCTGAGCCAGGGTCAGCCGTGTGCCCGTGGCGGGTGGGTGCGGGGAGCGTGCCTTTGGGTCACTGGGCTGCGTGTTAACTTTCAGAATCATAGGGGTGTTTGCTTTGAGGTTTTTTTCTTTGTTGTCATTGCTGTGTTCTTTGCTTTCCACGTGCAGGCCTTCATAGGGCTCAGGCCACTCTGTAAAACTCACACTTCAGATCAGGGCGTGCCCCGCAGCGTGGAGCCTCGGGGCCGAGGCCCCCCCCGGGGGGGACTCACTCACCGGAGCGTGTTGCTTCTTCACCCAGAGCTGCTGGACTCCCCGGACCAGCGAGGCCTAACCTTCCAGCTGCTCCTCCTCGTGCGCTTGTCCGGGAGCCTGCCTTGACTGGGAGTCACTGCACGGTTGGTCACGAGCTGGAAGATCTTGCACCTTGCACGTCAGCTCGAGGGGACTCCAGCTGAGAAGCTCTTAATTCCTGCGTGATGTGTCCGAGGATAAACCCCCAACCCATAGCGTCAGCTTAAAATGACGTGAACCGTTGCATGCTTTTGAAAGAACCCTTACTTTCTGCAGTAAAATGCCTTCAGAAGGTGCATGTACAGCTTGATGTGAAAACACCCCCTCGGGGTGGGTGGGCGGGAAGCAAAGGCTCCAGATACAGGCCCTCGGGGGCTTCGGGGCTGGCCTCCCGGGAAGGACACGGAGTGGACAGTGCCCCAGAGCGCGCCGCCTGGCCTGAGCGTCGTGCAGGGCGAGGAACACAGACCTGCCGCCCGGCCCCAGCTCGGTCCCTTCCAGCTGTGTGGCAGGGCTTCGTGCCCCCATGTGTAAAGCTGGGATGGAAGTGTCTGCCGCACAGGCTGGTACTAGGAAGTCAAGGACAGCGTGGATACCACTTGCTCACTAGTGCTCGGGGGCGGCAGCTGTGATGGTGGCCGAGAGCCCCCAGGGGCCCCTGATGCCCAGTGATCAGGCGTCCACAGGCCCTGTTCTGGACCCCAGCCTCCACCTCACACCTCCACCAGCAGTTACCCTCGAATGGGCCCCAGACTCCAATGTCAAGTGTGAAAGTATCACACTTGTGGGAAAATCGCTGGGGTTTAGGGCTGGGCAGAGGTCTTAGACTTGATGCCAAAAGCACAAAGGGACAAAGGCCTTGCACCTGAAATATATAAAGAACTCTCAAAACTCAGCAGCGACAAATCCTACGGGAAAGCGAGCAGAGAGCGTGAGGACGTGCAGGTGGTCGGCAAGCCCGCCACGCCTGCGCTGTCTTCCCGCTCAGGAATGAGACTTCTCGCCGTTCCATTCAGAGGAGACCTTCCCAGGGAAGGTCTGAAAACCTCACGTCCACGCACAGGAACCCGACTGTCGAGAACGGTACTTCCCCAAACGTTCCCGTTTGTCGCGGGTGCAAAGCTTCGGCCCCCACTGCTGTGTGTGGGGTGCGGGCCGCATCGGAAGCCATTATCACATGTTGGCCCTATCTTCCCTTGGTACTTCTTTGTAGAGAACCATGTTTGGTGTGAATAATGGCACTTTCACTTCCTTCCAGTCCTTATAACTCGTCTTTGTCTTTTGTCCTGTTGTGTTGCTGATGGCCAACAGCAGGCTCTTAAAGAGACTTGCTCAAGGTCACACTGCGGTCACCGGCACCACCGGGGTCCGGAAAGTGGGGACCCCGGTGTTGCAAGGCGGATACCCTGGAATGGCCAGGTGGCCGGCGGGACCACTGGTCTTCCTTGTCCAGAGGCCTACCGCCACCTCGAGTCGCAGTCGCCGTCCGCTGCCGCGATTTCGGAGAAAGTTTTGTCTAGAAAACACCCACATACCCTTACGCTCCGCTCTTACACTGGTGCAGCCCCGCCCCGGCCGCCGCAGGCTCCGCCCCAGACGCAGCCCCGCCCTTCCCATGGCGCGGGGGGGCCGCCCCTCGCGTCTCAGGCCCTGCCCACCTAGGCGCAGCCCCGTGCGCTCTGTCGGCGCTGGCCCGCCTCTGACGTATCAGTCCCCGCCCACACAGACGCAGCCCCGCCTTTCCCACAGCGCTGGCCCGCCCCTGGCGTTTCAGTCCCCGCCCACCCGGACGCAGCCCCGCCTCTCCCTAGGCGCTGAGGGGCGGGGCGGGCGGGGGCTGCGGCTGGGCGGCCAATGAGCGCGGCACGAGGGGGCGGAGCCGCGCGGTGTGGTCCTCCACGGCTGAGGCGCGTTGGGCGTTGTGGGAAGAGCGCGGCCTGCGGGCCCGGCGATTCAGCCGCTCAGCCCGGCCGGCCGTGGCCGCCGCTGCTCGAACGCACTGAGGTACCGGCCTGGCGTCGGCCGGCGAAGCGGTGACCGGCGCGCCCACGCCTGTGCGTGCGCGCCGCTTGGGGCCGTGCGCGCGCCGGCGCGGGACCGCGTGTGAACTTGCACCGGGCTGTCCGGCTGCTGTCAGCGCTCACCGCCCGGCCAGCGCGGCCTGATGCTTTGCCACTCTGGTCGGTGCCAGCGTTTGCGCCGCTGGACCCCGAGAGCGCGGCGGCCGGGTCGCTGAGGGCGCGGGGCCCCGGGGCTCGAGACCGGGACTGGGACTCCTGCCTCCCGCGAGACTCCGCGGACCGGCCCCGGGACCCCCGCGCCCCGGGACTGCACGTGCGCCTAGGACCGCACTCCCTCCACGCACCCTCGGGCTGTAAGGGTCCGCGCCTGGGCCGCGCCGCCACTTGTTGAACCAACGTGGGTGTCGCCTGTCCGAGCTGTGGTCGTTCCCGCGGCTCGCGCGCTGGTCCTTTTGAAGCGAGAGGAGCAGGAAGTCGGACGTGACACACTGCGTTAGGGGAGCCTCCAAGGTGGCCCGGGCGACGTGGAAGGCCGGACCCTCCCAGCGACCTGTGCACGGTGGCTGCACACAGCGCAGGGCGTAAGTCTCGGGCTTGGGCGGCGGAGGGGGGCGCTGGCTGCGGCGGGCGCGCGGTGCCGGGTCCCTCCTGTTCTTCCCGTCTTCTCCGCGCGCCGGCACAGCTAGACGGGACGGTTTGCATTTTGTCACCGGCACCTCTGCTTTGATCCACAACTTCAAAACGCGCCGGAAAACCCCTCGCATCGACTCTTCGACGATCCATCAGCACTGAGAACTTTTTCAAGACTGGTTAGGCAGCGAGGGCCTGCTTCAGTTTCACGGTACTTAAGGAATTGAAGTTGAGTCTATAGATTCTGCTTCTTCGAACGGAGCAGCCATCATCTCACGCCCTGTGATTGGGTGTGACCCGGGCCCCAGCAGGTCCCGGCAGGGAGGTGCAGCCTGTCGCGCTGATGGCTGACTCCCACGGGTAGAGCATGTAAAAACACTTTGTCCTGGTTGTTTCGAAGTTCTCGAGTATGACTCTGAAACGGAAATTGTGTAGAAACAGCGGCTTTTCTTTAAAATGGGTTAGTTAGTGCAGGAGTTCTGGTCTCGTGGAATTTCCCTGCTCAGGAGGAATTCTGGGTCTGGCCCATGTCCTCTCCCAATGTGCCTCGCGCTGTGGGCAGTAGCCGTGGCAGGCGCGGTCCACTCCCGTGGCTCCCCGTAGACAGCCCCTCTCTGTCCCCTTCCCGTGCACGCCCTGGGCCTGGTCTGGGGCCCTGTCCCCCGGCGCACTGTGTGATGCCACTTGGAGGCTTGCACGCAGGGCAGCTGTCGTCATGGTTCTGCCCCGCCTGTGACACGATTTGATCTGGGCTGGATCTGGGGGCCACGGAGGGGAGCACAGTCCTTGTTGCTGTGGGGCGTACGCAATGGAGAAAACGCCAGAGTCACTGTCGTCTTCTTTTTAAGTGGCTGCGCTGGGACGGCTCCTCGTCGAGGAGACAGTTACCCTCGGGCCCGGGGAGCAGACTCCTCTGTTTTCACTGGGGGAGGAAAGAAGCAGGGGAACACTTAGGTGTTTTTCACAGGTACATGGCAAACATTTGGGAAAAAAAACTTAAAAAAATCAATTACTTTTTTAAAAGATTTTACTTACTTATTTTTAAAGAGGGGAAGAGAGAGAGAAAAAGAGAGAGAGAAACATCAGTGTGTGGTTGCCTCTCACACGCCCCCTACTGGGGACCTGTCCTGCAACCCAGACATGTGCCCTGACTGGGAATCGAACTGGGGACCATTTGGTCCATAGGCCAGTGCTCAATCCACTGAGCCACACCGGCTGGGAAAAACCGAGTATTTTTAAATACAAACCCTTTCAGCTTTTTCTGCAGCAGTATCTTTTAAGGGAGAGTTGACTTTCACACTTTTGTAAGCATCTGTTATACGTGGTCGTAATTTAAACACGTGTGCCAGAAACCCGGGCGTTTTCTTGCATGTTGTTTAATTTGATTCCTTGTGGCTTGTAGTGGGTGGTTCTTTCCTGTTTGCAGTCAAGACGACGCAGACCCAGAGAGCCCAGCCAGGGAGCAGGCCAGCCGGAGTCAGGACCTGCATCTTCTGTCCAGCCCGTGGGAGCCCGCCAGCGTCCTTTCTGTCGCAGTGAAATTGTGTGTCTGCTCGCACCAGGAGAGCGGTGGCCACGACAACCTCCATTTTAAGACGTGCCTTTGTGCTTCGCTGACTCGCAAAGCTGCACGTCAGGCCGCGTCTCTGTGCAGTTTTAAACTGCACGTCCTGCTGTCCAGACCTGGCGCTTGCAGGCTGTAGAGTCAGCGAGGCGCTGGCGGGTGGGGACCGGCCATTCTGCCCTTGTGCTGCGGCCCTCAGAGGGACGCACGTGGTCCTGGAGGCGGTCCACCCGCAGTGCCAGTGGGCGGCGCCAGCACAGGGCGCCGCCCTCCCAGGCTGTCCTCGGCACCACTGCCCAGGGCACTTACGCGCGTCCTGTCAGAGAGCGAGCGGCGCCTGGGTCCTGCCGGATGAAAACAGGTGGCGGTGGGGGTCTGCGCGGCCTTCACCTGCGTAGCCATGTGCCTCTTCTCGCCCGCCTCTGCTGGCCCCAGCGGAGAGACGGCATTGGGCTCCGTCTGCCTCGCTAAGGGTCGCTGCCGTGGTTGCTGTGGCCACCAGCACCCTGTCTCTGGAGTCGGTGACGTGAGACCACCTGCGTCATTAGTCACTGCCCATGGTCTCAGGGGGTTCGGGGTTTCAGGGCGCGGTGGCTGGCAGTGCTCGCTTGGGCATTTTGCTTGGGCTGTGCGGAGTGGACTGGGCCGAGCATCCCTCTCGGGCATCCCCGCTCTGCGCCTTGCACCCGGGCCGAGGACTTGGACCACGGGGGCTCCCACTGCCATGCTCTGGTCGCCCCGCTGGGTCTCCCGGCCTGCGGGCCTTAGGGTGTCCCGGAGGAGAGCCAGGTGGCCGCGGCAGGTGTTCCTCTGCAGTCTGGGAGGTTCTCTGGGCTCTGGCACGTCCAGGGGCCTGCTAACCCCACCCTCTAGTGGGAGGCGGGTCAAAGGATCTGCAGCCCTGTGCTCACCCACGGCACTCGAGGTCGCCAGTTAGTGACTGATGTCCCGCCGGACAGCAGGGTGTCAGCCAAGTGCTGTTGGGGAGGAAACTAGACAGAAAGGAAGCTCCGCCGACCTTGACCTTGAGCTGGGGCCACTGTGTGGACCGTAGGGTGGGCTCAGCTCCATGCTCCTTGGATCTGGGGGGCTCCACTGTCGTCTGCCGTGAAGAGCCTGGCACCCGGTGCCCTTGGGCCTGCAAGCGGGTGGACACCGACCCGTTTCTGGGAGATGCCCCGGACCTTGTGCCACCGGCCAGGTCTGGGCATAGCAGACCGAGCCAGTACTTGGGGCCTGCCCCTGCCCCATGCCGCAGAAGCCAGCGTGGACAGGCGTGCGTGGCTGGTCCAGGGCCCAGACTCAAACTTGGCATCTGGTCCATCGCTCGTGAAGGGCCTGGGCTGAGTGCCTGGCCAGGCCCCTGCCCGGGACTCGGGGTGGGGAGCAGCTGCCACTCCAGGCACCCCCTGCCCGAGCGAGGCTCCAGCCTGGTGGTCTGCACAGCCTCACTTACTCTGCTCGTCATTGCCAGCCTCTCCCGCATGTCAGCGCCTGTTGGTGGGGGTGCAGGAGTGGTGTGGGGCCGGTGGGCAGCATGGACGGTGGGTCCTCTGTCCCGGTGGGCGTGGAGAACCAAGGGGACAGGCGCAGAGACCTCCAGAGGAGCCAAGGAGACCAAGGGCGGTGCAGGCCCGAACAGATGGTGGGCAAACAGCCCGGTGCAAGGGCACGGCCTCAGGGGGCCTCCCTGGAGCGTTCGGAGGTGCGGTGGGGCCTTGGGGGTTGAGCACAGGGAGCAGAAGTCCCTGTGTTGCTGGCAGGGGGCATCCAGGGCAGCCCTGGGAGGGGAGCCGCAGCAACAGGAACCTGGCGGAGACCGGAGGCCGGGCCGGCCCAGGAGGCCCGGGTCAGACCGCTGGCGGCCCCAGAAACCGGCTGGGAAAGGGGGGCGGACAGGACCTGGAAGTGGTGAGGCCCCCGCGGCTGTGCTTCCAGGGTGGGGAGGCCCTGTCCCCAGACCCTGGGGGATGTTTTCCAACACCGGGAGGGAGGAGACCCTGAAAGCCCGGCAGGTGTCCAAGGAGAGGGGATGTGGGTGTTGCCCACCCACCATCCCATCCACCCAGGGCACCCACTCAGGAAGCTCGGAGATGAGGGCGAGGGAGAGTCCCAGGACCCCGCTGGACAGCTGCACCCCGACCTGCACAGAGGCGGGACTCCAAAAGTAGGGTATCCTGATGTCTTCAGCCGAATGGAGGTTGTCAAGTTTTCTTTTTTCTTTTCTTTTTTTAAATTATATTTTACTGATTATGCTATTACAGTTTTCCTGATTTCCCCCCTTTGGCCCCTCCCCCCTGCACCTCCAGCCCCCCAGGCAGCCGCCCACCACGGTTCACGTCTGTGGGCCATGCGAATGTGCTCTTGGCTGCTGCATTTCTGCTCTTCACATCCCCGTGGCTGTTCTGCATCTGCTTGTTTGTACTTCCTAGTCCCCCACCCCTCCCCCATCCCCCCCAGCCCCCTCCCATCTGGCAACCCTCAAAAAGCTCTCCACAGCCACGATTCTGTCTCTGTTCTCCTTTGTGCGTAGTTTCGTTTTAGAGTCAATTGTTGATGGATATGCATTTATTGCCATTTTAAAGATTATATTTATTTTTAGAGAAAGGGGAAGGGCGGGAAAAAGAGAGGGAGAGGAACATCAATGTGTGGTTGCCTCTCATGCACCCCCAACCGCGGACCAGGCCCTCGACCCAGGCCTGTGCCCTGACTGGGATTTGAACTGGTGATCTTCCGGTTTGCAGGACAGCGCTCAACCCACTGAGCTATACTAGCCAGGCATTTATTGCCATTTTATTGTTCATAATTTTGATCTTATTTTTCTTTCTTTCCTTTTTTTTAAAGATCATTATTTTATTTATTTTTTTATAAGTTACTTAATTGTTGTTCAATTATAGTGGTCTGCATTTTCTCCCCACCATGCCCCCAACCCCAGCTAAACCCACCTCCCTCTCCTGCTTCCACCCCCCCTTGGTTTTGTCCATGTGTCCTTCATAGTAGTTCCTGAAAACCCTTCTCCCCACTGTCCCCTCCAGTTATATTTTGTTTGCGTTTTTCTTTTGTTGATCATGTCCCAGTTAAAGGTGAGATCACATGGTATTTGTCTTTCACAAATACCTGGCTTGTTTCACTCAGCACAATGCTCTCCAGCTCCATCCACGCCGTTGCAAAGGGTAGGAGCTTCTTCCTTTCTGCTGCATGGAATTCCATCGTGTAAATGGACCACAGTTTTTTGATCCATTCATTTACTGAGGGGCACATAGGTTGCTTCCAGCACTTGGCTATTATAAATTGTGCTGCTATGAACATCGGGGTGCAAAGGTTCTTTTGGATTGGTGTTTTAGTGTTCTTAGGATATAATCCCAGCAGTGGAATTGCTGGGTCAAAAGGCAGATCCATGTTTAGTTTTCTGAGGAAGTTCCATACTGCTTTCCACAGGGGCTGCACCAGTCTGCAGTCCCACCAGCAGTGCACTAGGGTCCCCTTTTCTCCACAACCTCTCCAACACTTGTTGTTTGTTGATTTGGCTGTGATGGCCATTCTGACCGGTGTGGAGTGGTCTCTCATTGTGGTTTTAATGTGCATCTCTCTGATGGCTGGTGTTGCTGAGCATCTTTTCATGTGTCTCTGGGCCATCTGTGTGTCCTCCTTGGAGAAGTGTCTGTTCAGGTCTTTTGCCCTTTTTTTTTTTTTTTTTTTTTTGGTGGAGTGGAGTTGTGTGAGTTCTTTATTTTGGAGATCAAACCCTTCTCCGAGGTATCATTGGCAAATGTGTTTTCCCATATAGTTGGTCCTCTTTTCATTTTAATGCTGTTTTTTTTAGCCATGCAGAAGCTTTTCAGTTTGATGAGGTCCCATTTGTTTTTTCTTTCCTTCCATTTTCTTTTTCTTAAGTAAGTCCCTTTAACATGTCCTATAACAATGGTTTAGTGATGATGAACTCCTTTAGTTTTTTCTTGTCTGGGAAGCTTTTTATCTGCCCTTCCATTCTAAATGATATCTTTGCTGGGTAGAGCAATCTTGGCTGTAGGTCCCTGCTTTTCAGGACTTTGAATATTTCTTGCTAATCCCTTCTTGCCTGCAGAGTTTCTTTTGAGAAATCAGCTGACAGTCCCTGTAGGAAACTAGCTTCTTTTTTCTTGTTGCTTTGAAGATTCTCTCTTCATCTTTAACCTTTGGCATTTTGATTAGTTTTGCAGGGGGCCTCTTTGGGTTCGTCTTGTTTGGGACTCTCTGTGCTTTCTGGACTTGCATGTCTCTTTCCTTCACCAAATTAGAGAAATTTTCTGTCATCATTTTTTCACACAGGTTTCCATTTTCTTGCTCTTTCTGGTCTCCTTTGGGCACCCCTATGATGCAAATGTTGGACCTCTTCAAGTTGTCCCGGGGGCCTGTGCGTGTGGTGACCTCGGACTTCTGGTCCCCGGACCGCGGCCTCCCTCGTTGCTGCAGCTGGGCTTCTGGAGGGGCCGGTGCTCGGGGCGTGTGTGGCCGCCGTCCTTCCGCCGGCGCTGCTGGTGCTCACCCCCCAGTGCAGAGCCGGCCTGGGTGTGGGCCAGTGGGAGGGCCTCTGCGGCGGAGGTGTGACAGGTGCCTCACCATGGAGCCCGTGCTCCGCGTGGCGCAGGTGTGTTGCCCGGGCGGTTCTGTGCGGGGTCACAGCGGCGATGTCTCTTTACCGCTGCCCAGGCGCGGAGCTGCAGGAGGCGTCGGAGATGGACCGCTCACCTGCGCAGTGGCAGTGCGGCCGGGAGGGCTAGCGCACGGCCCTCGGCGGCCTGGACCGGCTGAGCCCCATGTCCCGGAGACCCTGAGCCCGTCGGTGTGGACGCAGCCGCCCTGACCATGGTCACGCTCATCACTGAGAAGCTGCAGAGCCAGAGCCTGGACGACCTCGCCCACAGGAGCTGCAACGCTGGCCCGGTGAGCCAGAGGCCTCGGGGCCCGGGGGGAGGGGGTGGGGCAGTGGGGACACACAGTCCCAGGGCCTGTCAGCGTCGTGGTGGTGGGTGTTCAGCATCGTTAACAACCCGACTGTGCGTGAAAGTCTGAGCTACATGCCGAAGCGTGCAGCCCTGAGTGCGCCCCGGTGACCAGCCCCTCCCCCCACCCAGCGGCCTTGGCCTGGCGCCTTCGGTTGGTGCTGCCGGGTCTGAAGTTCACGTCCGTGGGGCCGTGGTCTAGGGTCATTTCAGCGCGAGTGTCAGGACCCCACCCTGCCCTGGTTGGACTGTAGGTCCAGGGGAGGCGGCTAAGCGCCCGGACCCCGTGCTCTCCCCAAGACGGGGTGCTCAGGGCCTCCTGGCTCTGCACCCCAGCCTCTGCTCTGTGGCTGCTGCTTGTTAAGGTGATGAGAGGGAGGGGGCTGTGGGCCCTGGGCCTGCGTGCCGGGCGTGTGGCCTGTCGGGACAGCAGATGGCCAGACGCTGGTTCTCCGTCCCCCGGGGCGGGAGGCCGGGCTACCTCGGGACCAGGGCAGCCCAGGGAGCGGGGCTCGGGGGCGTCCGGTGGGGAGGGCTCGCCGAAACGGAGCTCAGCCGTGAGGTTTGTGCAGGTGCGTGCGGCTCAGGGGGCGGCCAGGTGGCGCCTCAGGAGCGGGAGGGGACACGCTCATTCACGGCTTCTTGTTCTCTTCACGCCCCCGAGCGTGGTCGGGCTCTGAGCGTTTCAACCTAGAAGCTGGGGGGGCTGCAGGTGAAGAGGGGAAGGGGGGGAAGTGCAGACGGCAGCCACGGGGGCGTGGAGCCCGGGGGGAGAGGGAGGCAGGGCCGCCGTGGGGCCGCGCTGAGGGCTGCGCTCGGGAGTGACGTGGGAGGGGCCTCTGGGAGTGGAGCCTCTCTGTCTCGTCGTCGTCACCGAGAGAGGCGGTGCTGGTGCTGGGGCATGGGCGTCACGGCCGCACTGCAGTCGGGACCTCGGCTGCGGTTCGTGCTGTTGCCGAGTCTCACGGGAAGCTTCTCTTTCTTGTCACCTGCAGCGTTCTGCCGAGAAACGCAGCATCAGCAGCGGCCCCTCGCCCCCTTTGGAGACCCGCGGTGAGTGTTCGCAGGCCCCGGCCGTGTGCTCAGGGCTGCCGCAGGGGAGCCGGGCGGTGCCTGGCCCGGGAACAGGTCCTGACTGGCGGGGAGGGGTCGGCCGGAGCGCCTGTGCCTCGGGCGGGCGTGGGTGGCGCTGGGGGCTGGCTCGCCCTTACCGAAAAGGTCTGCCCCCCGGGTCCCACAGCCGCTGGGGGCAGGGCAGGGCAGCGGTGCACACCCTGCAGCTCTGGGGTGTGCGTGCGTGTGCATGGGGCGGGGCAGGGGGGCAGCTGCAGTCACACCCCGGAGTGCACGGGTCCACTGACTTCCCGTCCCTCCAGGGCGGGGCCCGCACACAGGTGTCCTGTGGTCTGAGCGGGGATGGGGGCCCAGCGGCCTGAGTGTGAGTGTGGGAGCGGGTGAGCGTGGGCGCGAGGATGCCTGTGGGGGAGTGTGCACGTGAGTGTGCATGCAGGAACAAGTGTGTCCGTGGCTGTGGGTGTGAGCGCTGAGTGTGTGAGTTTAGGAGCTCCTAAGGCGCCTTGGCCGGTTCTTGGTCACGGTGGAGTGTCAGTCCTGTGACTTCCAGGTGGCCGGAGCCGGGCTGAGTCCCGCCCCGCGTGGTCACCACGGCCGTGGGGCACCAAAAGGCTGTGGGGTGGGTCATAGCAGACAGCGAAGTGGCCGGGTGGGAGCGGGAGGCGTGGCCAGGGCCTGGCCCTTGCCGCCTTGTCTCCCCTCAGGGGTGGGGGCTGTCCCCGCCCACAGCCCCTCAGGCTCCTGGCGCGGCCCACAGCGTCTGCCCTGCCGTCCTCTCTGCGCCCTCGGAGGGGGGCAGGTGGCACCAGGGCGGAGCTGCCCAGGGCAGGCAGCTGGGGCCGGCCCTGACCACGTGTGCGCCCGCAGTGGGGGCTCCGGTGTCCGCAGCACCTGCACCTCAGGGCCACACGGTCCCGGCTTTATGTCGGGTGACAGAGCGGCTCCACCCCGGGGGTGGTGGGTGCCTCCTGCTCACCTGTGTCTCCTTGCTTTTTCCTTAGAAGACGGGAGCCTCTGGAAGGCCCTGAGTGGAGGACTGCCCAGCAGAAACCAGGCCGCCGCGGGCCCCACGCTCCCCTTCCTGCTGGGCCCCTGCGGCGTGAGCGGGGGCCAGGGCGCGGTCAGCGCCGGGGACCTCAGGGAGAGCTCCGGGCCCCCCTCGGCCCCGCCCAGCAAGCGCCACTGCCGCTCCCTGTCGGAGCCGGACGAGCGGGCCCGCTGCCGGTCCCCGTGGCGGCCCGGCGGCTCCAGGGTCTGGACTGCGGTCCCCAAGCGGCGGTGCCACAGCGGCGGGAGCTCCTGCCTGCCGGGGGGCGCCTGCCCTGCGGCTGGTCCCAGCTCACCACCACGTGGGGCCCAGCCGGCCTCGGCCAGCAGCCGCGTCCTGGACTGCAGCGGGGCTGGGCCAGGCCCGCCCTGGTGCCGCCGCCTGTCCCTGTCGCAGGAGCACCTGGCCCACGCGGACCTGCCGCCCGAGCGGGGCTGGCGGCCGGGCCTGCCGCGGAGCCGCTCGCAGCCCTGCGTGCTCGTCGGCGGGAAGAGCCGGCTGAAGCGCCGGCGGGACGAGGACCCCCGGTGGCCGCGCCCGTCCTTGGACTTTCTGAAGATGACGCGGGTGAGGCCCCCCTGTGCCCGGGCGGCCGCCCTGCTGGAGCCCCCGCTTCCCGGGGCGGCTCTGGAGGGGACTCTGGGCGGGGCAGGCCTGCCTGCGGCCAGGCCCTCAGTGCCCACACGGGAGGGGCAGCCCGGGGGCGTGGTCAGACCACAGCCTCAGTGCCACCCAGGCCCCCCTCCAGGACTGGGGACCCGGGTGGGCCTCCTTTGGGTGGGAGAGCCTGGGGGGCCGGGAGCTGGGCCAGGGTGTCGGAGGCCGCACCTGCTCCACTCCGACCCCAGGCTTTCCTGAGACCCCACACCGCGTCCTCCGCCCCCTGCTCTTCGGGGAGGGCGGGTGTCAGGGACCCCGGGCTGCGGGCCAGCTGGGAGGCTCAGGTGCTTGGGCCCAGCGCTGCCCGCCCCCTGCGGAGTCCGGCTCACAGGCCCAGGGACGGCGAAGGCAGACCAGGCCCGGGGGGCCGTGTCTGTCGTTGTGGGCGGCCAGGGTCCTGGGCGGCCCCTGTCTCAGGGCCTCCGGTGGGAGCGGAGGGTGGGGGCAGAGAGGCCGTGCGGGGTGTGTCTGGGTGCTCGTGGACCCCAGTGTCCCGTCTCCCCAGGGACTCGGGGCTCCCCACTGAGACTCGGGGCTCCCCGTGGGGAGGTGACACATGGGGGCCAGCCTGTGACAGGAGCCCGACCGCTCCCTTCTTGAGGTGGTTTCGCTTTTCCTGAGGCCTCCGAGAGCGGCATTTGCACGGCCCGGGGGGAGGGACTCGGAGAGGACAGGCCCCGACGGGGCTGGGGCGGACCGTCCCGGCCGATGTGTGGAGCGGCCTCGGCGCAGCAGGCGGGCGACCGCAGCCCGGCGTGGGTCTGGTCCCCGGGGCCAGGTCGGCCGCGCCAGCGTGGCCTCCCCGGGCCCCATCTGTGCCTCGGCCAGCCTGCTCGTGTCCACTGGCCGAGGGGGGCTGTCCACTCGCCAGGCCACCCTGGGAAGCTGCTTGTTGCCAGTGTTCGCCTGCACCTGCGCCCCTGAGACCCCGCCCCTGAGACCCCGTCCCCGAGCCCCCACCCCAAGACTCCACCCCAAGACTCCACCCCGAGGCCCCGCCCACATGTGCACAGGGCGGGCAGGCGGGTGCTTGCTGGCAGCTGGAGGCCCCACTGGGCTCCCGCTCAGCCCTGGCCTCGGAGACGGCTGCCGCCTGGCCCGTCCTTTCTGTCCAGCACCAGTGCTGGGGCCGGGACCCTGCTGGAGGGCAGCGTGGGCCTCGGGTGGGAGGAAGCCAGACACCTGGGCAGGTGGGCAGGCGCCGCAGCCCGCCAGCCCCTGGGCGTCGAGGGCACGCACTCAGGTGGCTCCTCGGAGCTTTCCTGGTTTCGCCGGGAATCTCCCGGTCACCTTGGCCTCGGGGTGCAGACTGGGCAGTGCTCTCACCTGCGTCTCCACGGACTGACCACTGGCACAGCACTGGAAACACCTTCTGCAGTTCAGAACCCAAAGTCTTGGCCTTCGACTTTGGAACAGATATTCCGCGTTCATGTGCTTGTGGGTGGGGGCTGCACCGGGCCCCTCCTGCGTGTGAGGACCCTGTGGCCACAGCCGCACACCCGAGTCCCTGGGCGTCCCTGCTGCTGGAGGGGCCAGGTGCCCACAGTCTGGGGCGTCGTCCTGGGTGGGGCCAGACCCGGTCTCCCCCGGGCGCCTGTGGGCCTCGCCGGCTGCCTGGTGAGGGTCGGGGCCGTGGACGCAGCGCTGGAGGTGGCCGCCCGAGGCGAGGCCTGGGTCCGAGGCCCAGGGGACCAGGGGCGCTCGGTGTGGCTGGGGAACCTCTGTCCGGCTGGTGGGGCGCCCCTCCTGGAGCCTTCCCAGGGGGACCTCAGGCGCTTGTCTTTTCTGTTGCAGGCGCTGAGAAACTCCAAAAGCCTCGGCTCCCTCGACGGCGACGGTGAGGACGACGACGACCCCAGAGCGGAGATGGCCGTGTCCTGCCCACGGGAGCCACGGGACCCACACGGCCTCGTCACCCCAGGCCCCAGCCCCTGTGGCCCTCGGGTGCCGGTGGCCAGCGAGGGCAGGGGCGGCAGGGACCCGAGTGCCTGGGACAGCGCCGGGGAGGAGGGCGTCCTGCCGCTGGACCCCGGGGCGCTGGACCTGGAGCAGATCGAGAACAACTGACCCGCGGGGGCGGGGCCACCGCCGTCTGCTCCGGGGTGCGGACTGGACCCCGGCTACGTGGTGTTTCCAACGTTGTCACTTTGACTGTTTCCTGAGGGTGTTTTGTATTTCCGTGGTTTTTACCGTTCTGGGGAAAGCGTCTGTTTGGAAGGGAACTCGCACAGGGCTCCCTGTTGCCCGGGAGACCCCGGGGTGGGCTGGCTCCTTCTGAGACGCCTGCAGTGGCGGGCGCACGGTGCCGTGCAGTGCTCGGCTGCGAGACCCCGGCCCCCCCACCCAGGACGTCCTTGTCACGCGTGCGGACCCCTGGGCCCTGCGGTGCGGAGCGGGCCTGGTGCTCTGCGGCCGAGGACAGCGGCGGTCCCGGCAGCCCCCGGTGCGACTTCAATAAAAACTCTGCTTCGCACGCGTGACCGTGGCCTGGGTGTCACCTCCAGGTGGGACGTGGCCCGGGGTGGAGCGGGGGCGCGGCCATGGCTCCCCCTGAGTCTGCACTGAAGACGCCCACCCGGGAACTCGGGGACCAGGAAGAGTCTGTGGTCTCGAAGGAAACGTTTGGAATCTGTGGAGGGATTTTCCTGATTTTCTCTCCTTCCCTGAGACGGGGGGGGGGGGGGGGCGGGGGGGCGGGGGGGGGAGTCACCCCCAGCGGTCCCGGCGTTAGCAGGGTGGGGTGCAGGTCAGAGGCCGGCAACTCGGGCCGTGGCGGCTTCCAGACCGGCCTCCCTGAGGCTCAGCCCCTGCACCCCTCGGTCCCGGTCAGGCCCTGTGGGGCCCCCACTCGCACCATCCCGGTGGCCCCGGAGATCATGCCTGAGCCACGGGGTAAACTCCCGCAGCGCCTGGTCGGGCTGTCCACTGCGGAGCGGAAGTGGCCTCTGGTTTCCCATTCATGTCAGAGAATCGGGAGCGGGGGGTGGGGGGGTGGGCAGGGGTGCACAGCGGCACCTTGCCACTCCTTGGGGGTTTCTGGGCGGCTGGGGGGGCGCAGGGGCGGGCGGAGCCTCCGGGTCCCTGTCCTGGGACTGCCCTCACCACGGGGAGTTTGGAGTTGCTGCCGCCTGGGCCTGTCCCGTGCTGCTGAGGGGCGCTGGGGGGCACTGGGGGGCGCTGGGGCCTCGTCGAAGGACCGCAGGTGGGAAGCGAGGCCCGGGGCGCCCCGGGCAGGGAGCTGCCTCCTGTCCTCGGCAGGCCCATGTCCTGACGCCATGACGCGGTGGCACCGTGACGTGGGGAGCAGCAAGTCCTGATGGGACAGGAGCCTTGGGGGTCGTGGCGGCCCCCGACGGTGTCGCCTGCTCCCCCAGAGCCACCACCCGGCCCCTCGGGAGGCGGAGGCGCCGAGTCCCGGCCCAGGAGGAAGAAGGGATCAGCCCAAGAGGAGGAAGACAGGGCAGGCAAAGAACGGGGCAAAGGGCGTCCCGCCCTGACCCCTGGGCTGGGAGAGGGAGCCGGCAGCCGCTCCGGCGAACAGGGTGGAGCCCGGGACGTCACCGAGGTGGTCAGGGTGACAGAGGGACGACTTAGAGGGCTCGGCCAAGTCCCTGCCTCCTGTCCCTCCCTCTGCGGGGGCTGAGGGGACCGCCGGGGGCAGGGGTGGGGCTCAGCGGGCCTGGCCCGGCAGCTGCCCCCCAGCGAGCCCTTCCCCACTGTGCCCCGCCCCCCGCCTCTCCCTCTGACCCCGAGCCGGGGTTCTGTTCACACAAAGAGGGTCTCAGGCAAGCGGGGTCCGCCTCCTCCGGCCTCCACCTTCCACCCTCCACCCTCCCTTAGCCCTCAGACAGCGAGCAGGGGGCACGGCCTGTCCCCTTCCTCTCCCCGGCCGCTGACCTGGCCCCCTCCTGAGCTGGGATGATCTCCTGCCGCCGGGCTCTGCCCTGGTGTCCTGTAGGGAGCAAGGGCGACCCCGTCCCCGATGGCGGTCACCACCGCTCCTTCTCTGCAGAGTGGGCAGAGCGCTCTCAAGGCTCTTCCTGTTAGTTCGGCCCTTTACACCGTCTCAGGGAACTGTCCCACCGGGAGTTCGCAGCGTGCCGGCCGGCCACGTCCCTGCTCCGCGGCCCCGACGACACCGGGCCTGGGTCCGCACCCGTGCGCCCGGGCGGGTGGGGCGGGCACTCCTTCCGAGGCGCCAGCCCTGTGGTCCCCGGACACACACACTCCCGTTCCCTTGTTGCCGATCAGTAGCTCACCCCCGCCTGCACCCCTGCCTCCTGGGCCTACCTGCGGCTCCCCTTTCCCTCTCTGCGTCCAGGGCGCTCTGCAGGGTGCGTTTGTTTTCAGCCTCTGGCTCAGCAATAAGAACGTTTCAGGCTGTGAGTTCTGCGCCAGCTCCCCCTCCGCGGGCTGCGCCGTGAGCCACTCTCTCTGTGTGGCTGCCAGGTCGCCCGTCACGGCCCCTCCGGCCAGGGACTCGTTCGGGAGAGAGGCTTTGCGCCCCCAAACTGCCGGCCCCCCCTTTAGACCCTCCTGTTCGTCTCTGGGCCCCTTGTGTGGCTGTGAATGACGGGACCTCTGAGTGTTCGCTGCAGCCAGCTTCGAGAGCACAGTGTGTGTGTGTGTCTGTGTGTGTGGGGAGGGAAGTGTTCTACCTCTGGTGACATGGTGAGGTGCACATGCGTGTGCAAATGTGCACACCCCCCATGCACACCCACACGTGCACGTCTGTGATGCACGTGCAGTGCACACATGCCTACAGGTATGTGTATGCAAGTGTGCGGCTGTGCCCACATGTTTGCATGAGCACCCACACGTGTGCACACGAGCGCACACGAGCGTGTAGACTGTTCCGGTGAGTGCTGCCCAGTGGGGCCATCCTCCTCACTGCGGTCTGGTCCGCAGTCCCGGGTCCCAGGCGCGTGAGGGGAGGGGTGACAGGCAGGCCCGCCCCTCTGCGTGGGCGGGGCCGGGGGGGGGCTCACGCCCCTCGTTGAGGTCTGTGGGCCCCAGACTGCTGGTCCACAGGCTCAGAGGAGTCTGAATCCATGGGGGGTGGCCCGGGAGGGGCTCGCTGGGGACCGGGGTGTCGGGAGGAGCGGCCGAGGGGTGGGTCCCGGGGGCCAGGTCCTCCCCCAACCTGGAAGGCCGGAAGTGGAGCTGGGCGGACCCTGGAGCTGTCAAACAGCAGGTTCAGTGCTTTTCCTCGTCGGCTAAGAGGTCAAGAGTGGACGCGGGACTGCGGTGGTGGTTGTGTGAGGTCTCCCCTGTGAGCCGCACACCCATCTTCCAGGGCGCCGTAGCGAGCGCCGCGGGCCGGGGCGGAAACTCCGGCGTTGACCCCCCACCCCCGGCCCGGGGAGGTGCTTCCAGGCCGCAGGCGCGGCGGGTGGTTCCCCGGAGGCCACGCCCCTTGGCGTGTGGACGGCCGTCCCCGCGCCGTGTCCTCACGTGGTCGCCCTCTGTCCCAGCCGCGTCCTCCTGCAAAGACTGCGGTCTCACTGGCCAGGGCATCCCGGGGGCCGTTGTACCCTAACTGCCTCTTTGGACAAACACCCCGCTTCGTTTCTTACGGCGGCGAAACACCCACGTGGACCGCCCCGGCCCGGCCCTGTCTAGGCGCCCAGCCGGCGGCATCAGGGCCTCACGCCGCTGCGCACTGTCCCCCGCCCCCCTGCCCCCCGTCCCCGTCCCCAATCTCCAGGACCCTCCACCTCCCCCACTGGGACCCGGTCCTGCGGACACGCAGCCCTCCCCCCGCTCCCACCATGCACTGCGTCGGCCGACGCGTCCGTGGGGCGTGGTCCGGACGAGGACGCTCGTTCTGCTTGCTCGTCTGTAACTTCGCTCGACACAGTTTTGTTAGATTGTCCTGTGACAGCCGCCATGCGTTTAAAAACACTTATCACAATGGGTGAATTCTTGTGCATCCATTTTATTATTGAGGATGGAGGAAAAAATATGCAACGTTTTTGACGTATTATGCTTTGTTATTTTAAGAAAGGTAGAAATGCAACTGAAACACAAAAGAAGATTTGTGCTGTGTATGGAGAAGGTGCTGTGACTGATCGACTGTGTCAAAAATGGTTTGTGGCCCTGGCTGGTGCGGCTCAGTGGATTGAGGGCCGGCCTGTGAACCAAAGGGTCGCAGGTTCGATTCCCAGTCAGGGCACGTGCCTGGGTTGTGGGCCAGAACCCCAGTTTGGGGCGTGTGAGAGGCAACCACATGTTGCTGTTTCTCTCCCTCTCTTCCTCTCTCCCCCTCTGTCTAAAAATAAATAAATAAAATATTTTTTAAAAAGTGGTTTGTGAAGTTTCGTGCCGGAGATTCTCGCTGGACGACGATGCTCCACCGTCGTGCAGACCAGCTGAGGTTGACAGCGACCGAACTGAGACATCAGTTGAGAAGAATCAACATTGTACCCCGTGGGAGAAAGCCCACATACTCAGAATGCCGACATCAGTACAGTGATTGGTGAAGACGAACGGCGTCTTTCATTTCACGGGAAAACCGCACAGCAGAGCAGGGCTTCGGGTGGGACCCCAGGGGCCAGGGGCTTGGACCTCTTCTGCGCCGTCGCCAGGCACAGGGTTTGCGTGTCCTCACGGGAAGGCTCTGTGGTTGCGCTGGGGGCGGAGCCGGGGCCTCTCTGAGCCCGCCTCCCGCTTTCCCTCCGAGCCCCATGGGTGTCCTTGGGCTGGGCTCTCCCTGTCCCCAGGCCCGCCCCCCTCCGCTCCTGTCTGTCCCCTGAGATTCCGTCTCCGTCCCGCAGGTGGCGCCCTAGGACTCTCCCCTGCCCCGGACAGACTGCGCGGTCCTGGGTCACTTGCGTTCGGGCCACTTCTCCTGCGAGTCGGGCAGTTTTCCTTTCTCAGCCCACGAGCCGCGTGCGGTCAGTGGCCTTGAGCTCCCAGACGTGTCACACTGGGGTGGCTCTTCCTGGCGCTCCGCATCGCGACGCTGCCTTCCGGGGGCGCCCTCGGCTCCGTGCCGGCCGGCCTTGCCACAGGGGGCTCGCACGTGGCTGCTCGGTCCCGTCCCGCAGGGTGGCCCACACGGACGCGGAAGCCAGTAGCCACCGCTGGGGAACCTGGCCTCAGAGGTGACCCGGCCCCTCTGCCACTCTGTTCCCTAGGAGCGAGCCACAGGCGCAGCCCGGGGCGGGCCGGGGTCCTGATGTCGCAGAGGCCGCCTCCGACGCCCGGGGCACGAGGCCCCGCCCTGCCGCCCCCCTCTAGCTGGGAACAGGAAGCCACGAGGCCGGCTGGAAGGGAGACCCCGTGTCGCCGTCCCGGACCTGCAGGGGGAGGCCGAGTGTCACCGCTGCCGTGTGAGCGGTGGACAGAGACACTCGAGTGCCCCGAGGGCCTGGGGCACGGCGGGGAGGGGCGGTGGGGTCGCATCGCCGGCACCTGGGCAGCCAGGTGCTCCCCGGAGGGGGCACAGGTGAGCGGGCGGGAGCGGCTGGGCCTGGGT